AAACTGAATACACTAACAATATAAGAAAAATAATCTTGGAATTCTATAACAGCTAAAAGACTTATTCAAGAAAAACTATCTCAAATTTAAATTTATCAAAATTAAAGTATACTCAGGCAACAAACATAATGTTATGCAGATCAACTGGCAAAAGTAGACATGAGATTGAGAAAGAGATTAGGAAAAAAAATATTGAAGTCCACACACTATACAAAATAAATAATTTAACTTATCTCGTAATAGGACAACAGAATCTTAGAAATTCTCATAAAAAAATGACTTAAGAACTTATAAAAGCCATACACCTTGCAAAATAAAGATTACTCAACAGAACAAGAACTGATTTCAATTATAAAATCATTAGATTAATTCACTGATCAACAACAATGTTCCTATTGCAACCTAAAAAATACTTACTCTTTCCCATTTAACACTTTTTCAAAAACAAAATTTCCTTATAAGGAAATTTTCATAAAAAGCAAACAACAAAGTGAAGTTTTATATAAACCAATATCATGATAAACATTTCTGTAGAGATTAGTCTTCCCTATGGCACTGTTTTCAAATACTCAGAACCAACTAAACAGTTATCTCAAGTCATGGGCTCTTTACAAAATGGATAGGAAGGGCCTCCTCTGTTTGTTTCAGTAACTCTAAACAAACTGATGTCTCTATCCAGCAAGTAAACACTGGCTCTTCTAAAAAGAAAAGAAAAAGAAGACTATAGAAAAAATGGCTTCAAGGGGGAAAAAAGCCAGGTTTACCTGCTCAAAATTAATTGAAAGTCAAACAACCTTCGTCTCCAAAGGCATGCAAGGTTACAATCTGCGGAGAAGATTTCACCAGCTACTCAGCAAGAAAGAGACACTTCAATAGTATATACAAACTAGTAGCTATAGAAGTTGAGACAGCAAAAACTTCACAAAAGAAGTGAAAGGTCATCCATCTCACTACTGCGAACAATGCAAAAAAGCTCATCAGTGCCAATATTGATAATCTCAATATGGATTCAGTCATTGATGCAATCAGATCACTAGGACAAGATAAACCAGGTAATTACCTATTCTATTCCAATAGTAGATCGATACCAGGTAGCTCTTTTTTAGTAACAAACTACAATCCTGTTGACAACTCCTTTGGTTTAGTTGTAAGGGGCTATGCCATGCGTGGAACCTTATCTACCAGTCTGAAAGATGATCTCCTTAGAGATTAGGCAAATGAGTGAATTCTTGATAACGAATTGTACTCCAAACACAAGAGTATCTTAAAAGATATTCTTATCTAGATAAAACTAATACAAAAAAATAAACCGTATACTGGTTATATGTCTATCAACATATACTTGTTGGGTTTTTGCAAGTCTAGTGATCAGAAGACCTTGGTGGAAGAAAAAATTTGTCAGCACCACACTGAAGTGTCTAAAATCTTGGATACAGGTTAGAGTATACAATAGTCTGATAACCAAATTACTTTTAAAAATTGTTTTGAGAAAAATTAAGATAGTATCACATATTCTTTCTCATTGGTTGTTATACATAGTAATCATATGATTAGATAGTTTTTATTATACTAAAAATAGTCTAGCTATAGTTATATAATTAGTTTATGTAACAATACTATAATATGTAATATATTATTTATATTGGTATATGAATTTGGATGTGCTTGACATCACATAATATATTTAATAAAGAATATGGTCCCATCTCCCCAACCATCAACAACAACCTACTAACATACAACAAAAGACTTATAAAAAAATTCATAGATACAACAAAAAGCACACTCACTGAATTGGCCACTATTCGACAAATAATTCATAAACTCAAAAATATCACAGCATATATTGATGGCTCCTTATATACAGACTACAGAATGGGCTTTGGATGGCACATTATCCAAATCTCAGAAATCAACTTCAAGAGAAAAATACACAATTACCCTTCCTCCACAAGAGCTGAATTAGCTACCATTGCATAATTCTTAATGATAGTTCCAGCAAATAGCAACATTACAATATGTAGTGATAGTCAAGCAGCACTCGATGCTATCTCCAAAGTCAAGGAAACCCAACCACTATCAGAATACTTAAAAATAGTACTCTAATCAATATAATCAATCATATTACTAAACAACAAAGACTCAACATAATATGAAAAAAAATCAAAGCATACAACAATGATCCAGACAATAATAAAGCAGACATGCTCGTCAAGGAGGCAACTATTACAGGCAAAGCCTCAGAAATAAATTTTATTCCTATAAAAGACAGCCAGAGCCCATGGATCCAAGAGTGGAATGGGCAAGTCTTAGATAACACAATATCAGAAACTATAAGGAACCTCATCAAAGTAAGGCACATTTTCAGTTGGAGAATGCTAGATCGTAACCTAAACTTAACAAATAGCAACACACTACAAAGTATAGCATGGGCGTAATCAATGATCCATAAATCCCCATCTCAAATAACAATGGGTACAACTAACAAACTGAATCACAACATTAGATCATTCAGACTTAGACTATAAAACTTAGAACTGCTAACCAAAGACAAGTTACACAAAAGGGCAGCCACTACAAATAAAGACAACCTTTGCATCAACTGTCAGCACATCAAAACCAACACTCATGCAATGATATGTGAAGGCAATGGCATAAACTTCTTTAAAAAACTACTCCAAATAATCAACAAGGAAATTAGCAGTAGAAAACAACGAACTCTTACAAAAACACTAAATGATAAACTTAAAAAAATGGAAAGGGAATGGACTCCTGAGGAAAGAAACTATATTGCTCGGGGTACTGACAAAAGATCTCTTAAAAATAATAAAGGAATACACAACAACAGAAAATCAAAAAGAAATCCTCAAAAATATCATAGATAAATTCTTGATCATTCTCCAAGACAAATGGCAACTGAGGTGTCACTCTTTTTACATTGGGAAACGAATCAAAATATAACCAAAAAAGATAAGAAAAAATGGAAAACACCAGACAAAAGAACTACTATGCATAAATTATATATCTCAGGAATCAATAAAATTATGAAATACTCCAGTCAATACTGGATCAACTAGAACACAATATATTTCTTTAAAAACAATTTTTATGGGACAGGTAGAGCCTTGGCAGATTAGTCAAGTATATACTAGTACTTGGCAATAAGCCAAATGGTAGGATTATCCTTAGTAAGTTTAATTAAGTAGCTAGAGAGTTAAATTTGTACATACTCACAACAATATCTAATAAACAAGATGTAAGCCACCCAGTTAAAAAAATGGTTCTATTGTCATCCAATACAAATAAAAAACCAGCAAATCAATTGGAAAGATCAACAATAGTGAAAATTCAATTTATGACTCTAGAATAAAGAACTATCCACTAAAGCCAAACTCTATTTATGCCTATCAACCATATATATAAATACAAATGTATTAAATATAGAAGAAAAAAAACAATACCTACCTATTCATATGCACAAAAATAATGGGAAACAAAAGAGCAGTTAGAAAATATCATTATCAAGAAACTAAGACAATATGATACAACAAACATTTCAAAATAAAAATATTTAAATATAGAGATTACACATTCTTAAAGTATACCAAATATCTCAAGATCACAATCAAAGGCACAATACTAAAAGAAACTTATCACATAGTAACACATAACATCCCAGACAAATGAAACTGACTTTACTGCCTCATAAAGATCAGACAAGAAATGAGCAAATACCTCTACTAAATCTAGAAATCAAGATACAAAGGCTTCCAGAAATGGAAAACTCAACAAGGAATCATCAGAAAGTTAGAAAAAACCTCTAAACACTGTACACTAATTAAACATGACTGGCTCAATGAAGTGAAAAAACATATCAATGACTAATATATTGATGTTATTAACAGTTACATCAGGGAATACACCATGAACAACACACACTCCTCTTACATTATATAGCACAAGCCCAGCCTTGGCAGGTTAGCTCCCCTCCCTAGGGTGGCAACAAGCCATGAGGTGAAGTATTTCTATCAAACTGAATTTGGTTAACATAGGTAGTCTTAGCATAAACCACATATGTACATCTCTACTTAATCCAAATAAAGTAAGGCTGAGTCAGCTAATTAAAAAAATAAAAAATTAGTATATTGTGACCAAGGCATTTTTTTCTTAACTTAAAGTAAATTTCTTCTATATTTATCCATCTATTTACCTGATTTATAGATTGTTTAATAGATCGCAGTGTAAATACGTAGTTCTCTGTAGAATAATAATTCAAATATATTGCTATTATTATAGCCAAATAAGTATAGTTCATTCAGTATAAAAAAATTTTTTTCTATTAGATTAAAATTCCTATGTAATACCAACTCAATCTTAATTTGTTACCTTTCAACAAAATAACAGCTATTTGTAAAACAGATTACGTATTCTGTTGAACTTGAGATAAATTTAATATACAGTAATACCATATTTTGTACATACCTTTAAAAAATCAAGGCTGTGTTAATAAAAGACAATGCATGATTTTTCCAATAATAATTGATTGATATAAAAAATACAACAAAAAAAATGAAATAAGCCTTTAATTAATTGTACATAATAAAAATCTAAGTGAAATTTAGAAATTATACAACAAGAACAATTATCGAGAGTTGACCAATGAGAAATTTGAGATCTTACAAATTTAACGTGATCATGTGTTTTAATTAAACTCATGACGCCTAAAATAAGACACGTGGAATCTGTAAATTTAGTATCTCGGTATAATACTTGTGATAATTTATATTTATTTTAGTACTCTTACATATTCAGATCTTAGCATTAATTTTAATTTTCCTACTATCTTATATTTCTGCTTCAATAAAAGTTTAATATACAAATGTATCATGTTTAACTGATAACAGCTTGTAATGGTTAATTATCATAAAGAAATTCGTATTTAATCTTCAGAGCATTCTTCGAAAATATTTCCGGAATGCAATAAATATAACATTATCCATTCACAACACCTCAACTTTCTCGATTTCCTCTGGAGAATGATGAAGTTCAGGTGGGTTGTAGTGAATAAATTCACGACAAAAGGTATCTGATGACCCACGTTCAAATTCTTTCAATTTCTTTCCAATCTTCATAGCGACATGCTTATATTCTTTGCGGATATCTGGATTTTCGTTGCGCCACTGTATGCTCGCCATTTTAGAAACATTGGCCATTTCTAACCTATGGTTATGTCGTAAAAGTTCTTTCGTGAATACGCGACGATACACAAAAAAGCTATTCGGGCATTTTTTACCGATCTTTTCACTTGGTTCGGTAATAAAATCATCGATTTTAATTTCCGATTCTCTCGGCATTTGAATATATCCCGGATCAAAATCAATTTTCTTTTCTTTCAAGCTTTTTTTACGTTTTGAGATTCTCCGCAAACGAGTGGGATAATTCTGAGTTAGAAAAGTGTATTCCATATTTCATTGACATACGCACTCCAATTAAATAAGGCCAAGAGATACTTATATGTTTTCTGGTACGTAAAGGAAATAAATGAAAGACGCTGGGTAATTTTTGGAAATTGAATCCAATAGTCTGCCTGTTATTAGTTGAGAGGAGACATTCGAAATAAAGTGAAGAACGAGCCTCCTTTTTTAGAAAAATACAATAGCATTTGTTATTAAGATGGCGAATAAGTGACGCCAATTGCTTCTATTGCCTATTATAAGAAATATTGCTCACAGAATAATAAAATAAATAATAGAAAGGAAACAAAACCGCCACATAATAGTGATACTAATTGACTTTTTGCTGCAGTTGGCGTATCGCTTATTCCGCTTATTATTGTCTTATAATTCATTAAATCCAAGAAGATTCGTTGATTATCTTATGTATGCAGTATTTAAATTCAGATTATTTCAAACATCAGTTTGAAAATAAAGGTAAATTTTGATCAACAAAGATGTGTGTAAGGCTAATACGTATTGGAAAATTGATAGCATAACTATTTTAAAAGTATCGTAAATTTCGAACTCTTAAATAAATAATATATGATCACTCATATGCTCACAATATATTTGGTTTAATTTGCATGTTTGTTTTTTTTAAAAAATCTTGACTCTTTTTAAAGTTTTAAGACGAGACGTCTTTGTAGAAACGAAGTGCTATATGTCCGGTGCATTAGTGAAAAAAGTGGAAAACAGAGTAGAAGAAGCCCCCATTCTTTATCTAATACAGTATTTTTAATAAAAACGAATTTAAGGCGTGTATATGCATACATGCAATAAATGCTGTGTATGTTCTTATTGCTTATTTTTGCAAATAAACTATGTATTTTCCATAACTAGTGTAAAAACATCACCCAACATTCACCTGTATAGACAATAACTATTACGTACATACAGTACGTTGTATGTATTCACCAAATTTTGATAACATAACGCATGCGCAGCTGATCTGCAAGTGCATTTAGATAAAGTAGATTTTGTATTTCATTTAAGAATGTGTTCTGCCACCTTATTATACCAACTGCGTAACACCTATTACTTTTATTTGCCATTATAGGCACAATAACACATATGGTTCTTTCTTGCTTCTTCGACTAGTTATTTATCTATTTTCAATAGCTACTTAAAAGGGTCCATATAAACAAAAAGAGGAATATGATTTTCCATTGCATTTCTCGTGCGCAAGGCTTTGAATGTGTATTCTTTTACGGTCAAATATGAAAGTTAGTTCGTATTTAATTAGAAATAAACACCGAAATTATAGAGTTTTATTCATAGATCTCGGAGATATCTCATTTCAAATTACATGCAGCATGACATTTCTCTGAAATGAACACGATGGAACTGACCAAATTAATGTCTTTTATTTGATTATATGGTTGTACTAATAATATAATCTGTTTAGACTAAGTCGAAAACTTATGAATCTGCATGAACCGAGGAACGTTGTCTCCCGAAATTTTATTTTAAATAACCACTCACTTTATCAGGATTTCAGACTCTCTTTAGATTGTGTGGTGTGCCCGTTGTACAACAAATTTGAACAATTGTTAAGTCACTATTTAATGCTAAGTATTAAACTAAATTGTTTATAGTTATCCAATAAAATTTATAATAGCCTATACGCACTAACATTTTTAATGGTGCATAATTACTAGCGTACAAACAATTTGATGCTTCTAAGAAAATATCATTCTTGAGAAGATTTTTCATTTTCCTTGGTCTGTCATCATTATTATTTATTTATTTATTTTAGAAGACAAAGTCCGATGAAATCACAACTGAAAGAGTTTATTATTATTATTTTTTTTAATCTGGTCAACGAATAAATAAATAAACAGACCCAGTTACGCGCTATTCTTAATGTTAACCGAAAAGTGTTTATTGATGTCGCATAAATAACAGGAAACGGATAAAAAAGGAAAGAGATCCACTCTCACATGTATATTAGTGCTCCTTCCACAGGAACTGTACGTGTGCCATTTTTGCTATTGACGATTTTCTGATTACGGTTATACGCAATGTATGATGTTCAGTTTTACACCAAAATGCATGTGAAAAAAAAAAGTGCATTAGCATACGCAGTACGTACGTAATAGGCAAAAATTTCATACACTGTAGTGCATACAGGCAGGACAAAATTTTGTTCTCTTTTTCATCATAATTGGATAATTTTTTTTTTTTTTTTATGCTGCTAAAATAATTTAAATATTTTTAAAAAAAATTCCAAAATGCATTTGATATAAAATTGATCTCTTTTATTAAACTTAAATTATGATTAAGATTTTTTTAATTAACAAGAAAATTTTAAAAATTTTATTTTATATATTTATTTGTCTTTGTTACATAAACTTATTGACAAAACAATTACAATTCTTTATTATAGATTTTTTATATAGTATTTCAATAAATATATTTTTCTATTCTGATAAATTTTAATAATTTTTAAATAATCTATTCTTTGTATTCTTAAATAAAAATATTCTGTTTATACACAATATAATTATGTTACTTCCGAATTCCGCCAATATTTTATCCTTTTATTTATTCCCTTTTTTACTGTACTTTCATTCTATCGGATATTTAAGAATAAAAGATTGTATAGGCTTTCTTCTTTTCTTTTCTTTTCTTTTTATTACTCTTCTTTTATTTCATAATCTCAATAGATAACTCATTTCATATGATCTGAAATTTTTTGATTAGTGTGTTTAGAGAGAAATTTAATGCATGACATTTGTAGTTGGCCTCCTATAAAAAGACCGTAATTAATAAAGGTTTAGAAAGGGGAAATCGAAGAGGCCATTTATTGTTCGGAGAGGATCGGTACGAAAACCGTACAGATTATCTGTGTACTGACATAAATTTCGAAGGAAGTTACAAAGTTTAACCATGAGTGTTGCGTGTCAAGAGTGTCAAATATAAAATGAAAGAAAAAGCGTATTAATTTTATGGAATAGAACAGATAAGCTGTGTCAATAATTGGCGAAAGAATTGAAAAGCAGGGATATTAACTGCCAAAAAGTTTCTTTCGTAAGAATCTTTAACAAGGAGTTATACTGTATATAGGAATGGGTCACACACTTTGTGTGCATTATGCACATTTAAACTTAGAAACACGCGCTTAATACAGTATGTGTAATCTGCTAATAAAGATTGTAAACATGGCGAACATAATAAAAGCTATTAATGGGAAGACAAATATATGTTGACTAATTATGTAATTATAAAAAAATTCTCTCGTTAGCAAATTACTAATTTAATTTGTGAATATCATAATATAAATTTTGAATTCTCATCTAGTATTACGTATAATACACATAAAGCAGTATACTGTATAAAACACGCGCGCATTATGCGCATACCTATCCCTAGTTATATATAAAGAATTATTATCACGACACGTAATTAGGAGTCGTGATAAACATTATAGTTAATTATATGCAGATACTGTAATAGGTTATAAAAATTTTGGTCGTATGTTTTGAAGTCTTTCTGAAAAGTTGAATAAAATAGAAATCAAGTCAGTTAAATTAAAACACAAATAATTATAGAATAATTTTTTTAATGCGAGTAGGTCTTATTTTTACGAATTGTCGATATTGTAATGAGAAAAAATTTCATATTTAGCAAGAATAAGGTGCTGACGAGGAATACATTATATCACCTTTGAAACTTTATTTCCAGAAAGAGCTTTTGAAATCCAACATAACACTTACAGTACATATGATAGCTTCGGATTTTTTTTTTAAAGCTGGCGAAGTCATGCAAAAAATTTTTATTTAATCATTAATATCCTCTCATATTAACAAATTTAATTGCAAGAAAATCCATTTATGATAGGAAAAAAACCAATGATTCAATATCTTGTGAACCCTGTGACTTGCTGCAGTTCACTTCAAGAGTTGATGTTAGCATTCATGACTCCACTAACATTGATACAGTATTTATGCAGAAAAGTGAGTTAATACAGAAGCCATTTGTATAATGTTCCTTATATTATGGTTTGTCAATTCTATATACAGGTGTCCTGCAGTCTTTGCCCTATTTATCTATCCTATGGCATCTCCTTGTCCAATGGATTCTTGTAGTTCTTTGTTCATTCTCACTTCATCTTCTTAGAGATGCTTTAAGTCTTTTCTAACTCTGACACTAACTTTCACCTTAACTTCCATATATTCCTCTTTTCTTGCCATAATTGTGATATACTCTTCTTTATTGTCATATTTGTTTCCTGCCTGTCTCCTATAATTTCTTTTGTGACTTAGATTATTTTTTGGGTGATAGCTTATTTAATTATATTTGACTTTTATACTGTTTTTAGGATGTTTGTGTTTCCTACTATTGTATTTGATCTGAGGGACTGTTTCCATCTGCTTTGAATGGGCTGCAGGTATTTGTTGCCATTGACACTCACTGCACATTCCTGTATCATGAGTATTATAAACTTTTCCATTAGCCTTATCTTGTTTGGTCTATAGATAAAGAAGTTTAAGTCTCTTTTTTATGTCTTTCACAAATTATACTTATTGGACTTTTATATATCTGCAACTTTCATATATTTATGTTTGTCATTGTAGAATATCCATTTAACCATATCTTTTTTTAGAAAGTTTTTTCTCTGACTGGTTTGAAGTAATGTGATCTTGAATAATAAAAAGTTCTACTAGTTATTTCCCAGTTTGTTTCTTTAGCTTTGTGTCCAGTTAGCTATTTTGTAGTATAATAGTTTTTCTATTTGCTTGCCAATTTGATTTTCAAAAGAATCTTTTCTAGTATTTTAAAGGATGAATTAACAAAGGACTAGTCCTATCTTAATTTTATATTAGTACTTATAGACCAGAATTCCTGATTTTTATATA